TATTTATTCAAAAATTGCTGGATTATTTTTTGATCAAGTTGTCACTGTTATGGTGAATGCTTTTATGGATCGTGCTAAAGTATTACATGGTAAACCATCAATTGCTTGTCAAAAGCCAAACATATTAATTTATAATAAATAAATCAATAATTGACAATTCTTTCTTATGTAGTTGGAAACATTTGTCCAATGTATAAGCGAACAGATTATTATTATTTGTAAGATATTGAATAAACCTTCATACTGTAGTTTCTATTTGAGTAGTTTTCACTTTGAGCTACCAAGAAGATTGATTTCATTGTTGTTGTTGTTGTGTTTTTTGTGTGTGTTGTTTGTTGATACATTCATGAATGATACAAAGAGGTAGATTTTTCGGTCAAATCCAGTAGAATTTTTCTTCCTGATATACTGATGTACTTCTCTTTTATATTTCAAGTATTTTACTAAAAAACAAAATACTCCATGAATAAAGTTTTCACAATGAAATAATGAAAGAGACATACACATATCTCTTAACATATAAATGTATACAGATATATTAGAGTTTATCATTGTTTCTTGTTTCTGGGAAAAGAAGTTTCATTCTCTTTTATTAATCTTTTTAACTTTTGTAATTTAATACAAAACAAGATTCAAAATTGATTTGCTACACTTCATTATTTTTTGTTTTATTATTGGTTGCATTAAGTTATGAGCTACTAATAATCGATGGTTAGCGTTTTTTTTAGCGAGTTAATTTTCTACGGGATAGGGCCGCTAATTCTATTCTCAACCCTCCTCCTTTACCCGGGCTTGGGACCGGCGGTAATCAATGATACTTTATCGAATCGTCTTTCTTTTATTTCTCTCTAATTCAATTTTTGTAATTGTTAAATATAAATATACGGAAAAGTGTAGAATACTCTTTGTTTTTATTTTCTTTCTTCATGTTTGTTTAAATATTAATGATAATAATTGTTATTAGTTAGTAGTATAATTATTGTTCTAATTATTTATCTTGCCATTTTTATAGAAAACAGTTATTGCTTACAGTTGGATTTAAGCTGTGTTTTATTTAGTCATGAAAGCATGCTTGTAAAAAAAATCACCCAGTCGTTTAATCTGAACTGTTTTAAGTGAATACTTGAAGGTATCATATAGGGTAGAGCGATTTTACCAATTGGTCGAAGTTAGACTCGTACACCACTGAATGCCTCCTCATTGGTCTAAAAGTTAGGGATTCACCGGAAAATCTGAAAGTTCTTGGTTCAATGCCCGATGTGGTCATGGATGCGTACTGTTTTGGAGTCTCATGTTAGAACGAAACAGTTGTCCAGCGCTTCATGGTTTTTTAACTGCAGTTAATCAGTGGTGTAAACTGAAAATAAGGTCACAAAAACAAACCTATACCGAATAATTATCTAATCACATTTGTGTTGAATTTGATTTGATTGGGTGACATCTTAGTTAAGTCATACTTGTTATATGTTTTCTAAATATTTTGTATTTTGTCGATGTTGTGCCTCTAAGATGATGGATAAACTTTGTCAGTATCTCAAAGGTGAATCTCTTAGATTGTTCTGTAGTGTATATACTGGATGAATAATAATTGCGGACCTGTCGGGGTTATAAACGCTGTCATCACCATCCTTTGAGGAGACAACCAGTTATCCAAAAACATGTTCATCAGTGTGGAGTAATTTTCCGTCTGTGCTATGGTTCTTGAATGTTTACTTTCGAACTTTACTCTCCCGATTGCTTTTTAGGTCACTCTTGAAATAGATTTCTGGGAAGTTTTGTGACTATTGGATTTGTACACCGATGTAATTAGGTGTAGCAGATCTTCCTATTTAGAATCTGACAGTGAAACAATTACTCGTTGTCTAACTTTTAAGCTCTCGTGTCGATCTTATTTCGATAACTAACTGCACAGCAGTCCATTCTGTATGACTGTGTTTGTAAAACATAGTCTATACAAGTAGAGGATGTGCGTAGGCCGCAGCCCTTTGAACAGAGATGTCTTCGAAGTAATGCTTGGATGTTATGAAACGACCGAGTGTTTTGTACTGAGGTCGTACGCGTGATACTACGGGAAGATGACGTCTTGGTTGATAAAGACTAAATATTCATCAACTGAAGTGGTTACGACATGTGCTATGTGAGCCCAATCACCACTTACCTTGACGCACTATGTTGATTGATGATGGAAGAAAACTAGAGGCGGTCAAACTGAGACTTGGCATCAGTCCATGAAGGCATTGACTGTTCCGACCCATGTTTGCAAATATAGATTATCTGGCGGGGTTCCATGGGATCCTTGTTACCAACATTTGAATATTGATGAAATGGCTCAGAATCAGTTGCAATGGTACTTATACATCTACTCTTCATCTTCTAGATCTTGGGTTTCATAGTTTTTTCGTACTTTCTGTCTTGCGAATTCGTTATTTTTTCTAGAACCATATTCTCTATTCCTAAAGTTTTTTTTTACTATCACTGATACTGCTTTCAATCGCTTCGTTATTTGTCTTCATAATTTCATCTCACTATACTAATTTGGTATTGGAACTCTGACCAATGCATTTGTGTTCCAAGTTCTACGTTGTTTACGACTGGCTGACTTAAATTAAGTGAATAACGCTTGGTTTCGAACAAAACAGGATGTTATGCACAACCAGAAAATATGTAGATTTTGGAAGAATTGATTGATATTAAGTCATATTTGGAATATTTAAATGGTAGTAGATTTGTAAATGAAGTTTCCTTTATTCAAATTTCACCAGTGTGGTGTGAGATAGTTTCTAATTACATCGACAGAATAAAGCAAATCCGTACCTAGTTGTACATTGTCTCCATTTTCTCAAACCCTAATTTGAAACAGGTAAGATAAGGCAACACAGATGGACAGGTTAGTAATACCTATCGCTACTGGTAATAGTTTGTAAGTGTGACATATAAGGTAAAAATGTATCTATCACTTAGATACCAATTAAGTGGTTGTTGCTTCCTTTTTTAAAACTCCGAAAAACATCACATGCATTTACAAAAATAGCTGAATATCACAAGGATCATGATTATGTATTTTATGATTGGATATCGGAATTATCAGGTGATTGTGTAATATTTAGAAAATCCAGCGTTAATCTCTTAATATTTTTAGGAATAGTATGATTAGTATCGTCCATTTACACATCAGGCAGTACTCGTTATTTCTTATAAATAATATATGTGAATGACTCCATTTAGATTCTTAAGTATCTTCCCAGATGTAACGGAGGGTAGTTTTCAGCGATTTTCGCTTATTGCTAGTTCAGTAGTATAATGGATAGAGACATTGTTAGCGTGGATGGTAGGACGATGGTGAATTGTAAGACCGTTGGCTGTTTGTCATTGCTATGGTAAATATAAACTGCTGAGTTAGCTGACGACAATTGGAATTTCACGATCATTACTAAGGATTAAACAAATATGATACTGATCGGTCTACTTATCGAACGCCTGATACTGGCTTCCTAGTCGTTTTCCAGATCCCCATAATCCTGTATTTGGGCTCCGAACGGTGGAAAAAAGGCCTGCAGTAAGAATCAAAGCTTCATTTTAACGTTGGTTGGTATACAGAAAAGAGCAGTATTTCTAGGTTTGCTGGTAATTTCCGACTTCTCTAAACTTTTTGAAGCATGCTAAATCGAGTAACAGAATAAGTAATATATACAAATCTTCGTCAATATTAGAACGAATAGTTTGACGAAAATTGGGTGCCGAGTATAGAGAAGACATTATATGTAATCAAAATTTAAATAATTCCAACGTTCCGTCTGACAAACTTGTCTGGACGAAACGTTGGAATACATATAATTTTCAAATATAATAAGTTATCGTTTAATCATAGTGTAATACACACTCCTTCAGTTTTGTAGATGTTTATCAGGGTGTTCCCAATGGATATAGATTGGGCTAAATGTTAACAGCACTTACTTAGCCTCTAAAGGTCTTATCGAGGAATATCCAAGTGACCTGAGTAACTATGATGAAGTCTCTGACTGTGTTACTATATAACATTACTTCGAGTTCCATGACAATTGTCAGTCCTGATAAGCTTTTCAACATGCTTCCTATGTATCACGAAACCTAAGTCAATTGAGTATTTTTCTTGATCTCTTCCAAATGCCTTAGGTTCAGAAGATCATATTTGATCACTGCCGAATTCCGACAACCATCACTAAACAACTTTGTAGTGTTACTTTTATTGATTTTTCATGTTCAGTCAGTCAGTCAGTTACAGCGTAGGACTAGGCACATATATGCATCGGTCCAAGTTCCCATACCTCATTCGCACAGCAAGATGAACACCGGATTCATAGTAGTTAATTCAGTGGTGGTAATATATAAAAGAAAGATTGCATATAAGGACATAGTACAGGAAGAAAGAATCAGTTGGTAAAAGGAAAGATATGAAGCGATTTTAATTTCATAGTTTAAGGGAAGACAGAGAGTTTATGCACCTATGCCATTGTGATCGATACTGAGCCATGTCACCAAGAGTCTCCAACGATTGGTTACGATAGTCACGCGGACCCCAACCAAGTAGTCTGCATCTACCAACACGGATCAGACTAGAAGTTAGTGACTTCAAGCACTGATGCCACGTTTTGGTTTGGTCGCCTCTAACTTTCTTCCAACCACCAATCGCCAATGACATTATAAAAGGATCAAGCTTTATTGACTGAAGTTAAACTTGTCGGCCACTGGATTCCTACCCAACGGCGTAAACATGCCCTGTTTTTTATAAGTCCCGAAAAACTATTCAATCTTGCGTAATGTCATAAGTACATACTGTTGGGAAGTGATAAAATAACACAAAAACAGGTGTCCAATGTTCACGATTTCCCAATCATTCTACAACTAGCATTGATTCATAATGAAAACTGTCTTTTAATTAACTGCTATGATGAATTATCTTAGTTTAGTGTCTCAAAACTGTCTGTTGGTCTTATATTACTGTTTATTTTTCACTTATCTAGATGTCAATGAATTCAAATCTATGCGTCTTAACACAAAAAATTGGACGTTTTTTACTTATCGGTTTAAATAGACCAGAGAAAGGTAATGTAATAAATCAAACAACTGCTTCAATGTTAAATGATATATTATACAACCAATTTGATAAAGATGATAATATTATTGGAGGTGTGTTATATGGTGAAGGAAAAGATTTTTGTTTGGGTTTGGATATGGAAGAATTAACGGATTATATAAAACAAAATCCAACTTGTGATAATACATCATTGAATAGACTTTATTCATGTTTATCTGTAGTATGTTATATTTATTGTATTCATTTTTGTGTATACTTATTTTTTTATTCTTATTTGAAGAGTTAGCGTTTTTTTAACGAGTTAGTTTTCTACTAGATGGGGTCGCTAACCCCATGCCCAACCATCCTACGCTACCCGGGCTTGGGACTGGCAGTAACTATAGAAGAACTACAGGCGGACTTAAGAGCGTTGCAACTGATTGCCGCAATGTGAAAGTGCCGAGCAAAGATCACGGGCCCTCTGGTGGTCGACTGGATTATGAAGACCTCAACATCTGAGGGAAAAAGCAGGGTATAACGGACAGCTCAGAAACAATTAGACGATTTGGACTTCGCAGATGACCTAGCCCTCCTATCCCCCACACACGAACAAATGCAGATAAAGACAGCCAGTGTAGCAGCAGGCTCTGCATCAGTAGGCCTCAGCATAAACAAAGGGAAAAACAAAGTTTTCAAATACAACACAGAAAACAGCAATCCAGTCACTCTTGATGGCGAAACTCTGGAAGATGTAGAGTCCTTCACATACCTGAGAAGCATCACCGATGAACAAGGAGGGTCAGATGCGGACGTAAAGGCTAGGATTGGAAAAACAAGGGCCGCATTCCTACAACTGAAGAACATATGGGACTCCAAACAAATTTCAACCAATATCAAAGTGAGAATCTTCAATACGAACATCAGGGCAGTTCTACTGTATGGAGCTGAAACTTGGAGAACTACAACAACCACCATCAAGAAGCTACAAGTATTTATAAATGGTTGTTTACGCAAGATGCTCAATGTCCGTTGGCCAGATACCATTAGCAACAGCTTTCTGTGGGAGAGAACAAACCAGCTTCCAGTTGAAGAGGAAATCAGGAAAATACGATGGAGTTGGTGGATAGGACATACATTACGGGAATCATCAAACTGCATCACGAGGCAAGCTCTGACTTGGAATCCTGAAGGGAAGTGGAAAAGAGGAAGGCCAAAGAACACATTACGTCGGGAAATAGAAGCAGATATGAAAAGGATTAATAACAACTGGAAAGGATTACCAAGGACAGGTTTAAATGGAGAATGCTGGTGAGCGATCTGTGCTCCTTCACGAGGAGTAACAGGCGTAAGTAATTTAAATAAGTATTTATGTATTTGAATAACAAGTCTTTGTTAGAATTTAAAACTGAGTTATGAATTAATAGTTTGTGATTGAGATGTACAATGTTGAAAATCTGAAACAAATTATTTAGTTTGAAAGTAAATGTTTGTTATGTAATCAACCTGGCTTAAAGTGGATAAATGAACTACAGATTGTAAAGGTTACATGTAATCGTATAGAAATAGCTGATTATCCATTGTGTGTAATTTAGTTGGAAATGAATTTGTTTAGTATGTTTTTCTAAGTTGAAAGGTTGATCAAGTTTAAATTTATTCTTATAATATTATTATTTAAACACAAACATCAATACAAAGGAGGTACCAGATACATATGCACTACATAAATCATTCAATTTGTGTGAGGGCTGGGATACTTCCCGGGTGGCTGTATACACACGGCCATATGAAAGCATTTCGAGAAGGAGAGCTGACTCTTCCCACTGTCGGCCGTACCAAGGCATTTGGAGGCTAATATATCATTATTGAATTGCTGAAACATAGAATTTCTTATCAGTAATTTACAGGTTTGAAATACTATTCCATTTACTTTGTGATCTAGGATAGAATCAGTTACTTCATCATTCTATTTATACATTACTAATGATTGCTAACTAGCCAGAGACATGTAGACAAAATGAAACAGTTGTTTAATACTATCTAACTATCCTCATAAAACACCTTAATAAACCTACAGCTTAACAGCCCGCGAATGCCCTGGTACGTCCGAGAGTGGGGAGAGTCCGCTCCACCTCTCGAAATGCTCTCACATGGCTACGCGTATATAGCCTCTGCTGGGGAAGTCCTACTCACTGCCTTCTCGTGGAGGGGGTGTTGTTTACGAAATCGACAGGACGAAAAGCGAATGTCCGGAGCTTTAACCGGATTGGTGGACATGGAGAGTCCACCTAGGGAAGTCGGAAAACCCTGATTCCAAACCAATGGTGCACATGGGCTCCAGTATCCTGAGGAAACAAATGGCGTATGAACCAATGGTTGGTCACCGGCTACCATGGGACTGTATCTCCTTACGTTTCTCCACTGCCTTGTAGATCAAACCTTCAGGTCGAAGGCTCCAGGTGTGGTCCTCTAAGAAAACCACCTGCTTCTGTTTGGGCACCCGGGCAGTATCACAGCCCTCACACATATCACATGAGATCTGTGTGGCGCATATGTATTTGGTGCCTCCTTGTACCAATATCTATGTGTTAAAATAAATAATAAATAAACAGCTTAACAGCTAAATATATTCTATTACTTTAAATAACGGATATATTATCAAAAAATACTGTAGTAAACGAGAACTAAAATGACGAAGACCAGTTTTGTTGTTTAATGCAAAATTACTGAGTTCTTTCGTAAAATATGAAAAAAAACATATATTAAACACATTCCATCAGTTGTCCTTTACAAGCTTCCTGACTCTGTCAGTTCTGTTATAATTACAATTACTTTCTGATCTCTTCAACTGAATCTTTCGCTGGTTGAAATCATGAGTCAATTGAAGCTAGACCACCATGGAAAACCTAGAAGCATTGGTTCGAATCTCATGGCGTGCGGGATCGTGGATGCGCACTGCTGAAGAGTCCTATACTACGACGAAATGGCCGTCCAGTGCTTCCAGGTTTTCCAGGGTGGTCTAGCTTCAATTGACTCATGATTTCAACCAGTAAAAAGTTTTCGTGATTCTGAACATCATCAACACTTACTTTAAGTAGAAGTTTAGTTGTCTATAACGAATATCAAAGATGGCACAATTATACATTTAAATTTGGAAAATATTTTGTTTATTATACTCTACTTTTCTAGGATTCTACTAAATTGACATTTTCAAAGCCGCTTATTGCAGCAATTGCTGGGAAAGCTATCGGTGCTGGTTTGGAACTAGCATTAGCATGTGATCTACGTGTTGCCGAGATCGATTCCATATTTAGTTTACATAAACGAAAACATTGTAAGTCGTTTTAATTGATACTGTCCGTAATTTAATTTTATTAGTCTTTTACTAAATATTTAATTACTCAGTTTTGATATGATGAGGAAGATTTGTAGTTCAGGTAGATGATTTTGATGAAGATTTTGTTCTCTGAGCTGGATGGTTTGGTCGTGGAGCTTTCATCGTTCTTCTGAACGACATCATCACCACAAACTTCAGGTAGGAGTGAAGGGTTCGGACACATAATCGACTGGAAAAATGTGGAAATTTTCGATAGAGGCAATTCCAAAAACACCAGAGAGTTTTTAGAAGCTTGGCACTCAGGTCAATCAGCAATCAACAAGCATATTGAAATCCACCCAATTTATCAACCAATCAGGAAAATTATGGACAAACATAGGAACAAAAATCGAACCAATGCGAGATACAACCAAAAAAAGAAGTAAACAATGACAGGTTTAAGGTCAACAAGAACCAACTATCATCGAGGTGTACAGGACAAGCTGTCAACCACATGTGGAGAAATTCGAACACTCCACTTCTACCTGAATTTTGTGCTGATAATGTCGTTCAGAAGAACGATGAAAGCTCCACGACCAAACCATCCAGCTCAGGGAACAACACCCCATGAAAATTAGTCAGTTTATTTATTCTCATACCTTATGAACTTTTCCTATTAAAATCTCTAACAATTACTTATTAAGATCATTTGTGGCTTATTTAGGTTGTTTAAAGATTCGATTAATATAGTTGAAAATAATTGATAGTGAGTTCCAAATTTAGAATTTAATTTATTGTCCTGAAACATCACTTTTCATTTCATGTATTAATTTCCTAGTTCAGGAAGTCTTAAGTTTATTCAAGAGAAGTGCCGTAATGAACTCAGATCTTTGTTCTTGCTTTCTTCAAGATGTTAAAGGAATTTTTGTGTATGAAATAATGCAGCTTTCACGTTGGTAGAATTTTAATCTACCTATGACCTTGAATAACGTCAGAAATGACCATAAAAGTTTTATGTCCATTGTCATCCATAAAGTAAATATATCTTTAAAATCAGGGGCCTATTACTAGAAGGGTAATGTGACTTATGATTTTTTCTAAGGTTTATAATCAGTTTCATGGATTTTAAAGCGGAATATTTCCTCTATACTGACTTATTCATTTTAGGAAAGATTAATTTATTTTTAGGTCTTTCGTGAAACCATAGATACTCAGTAATAAGCGATTTAAGGATCTAATGAATAAACCCTTTGCTAAGTCCTGTGAGTCATGTGTGAATCAGTCAGTCAGTCAGTAACAACGTAGAACTTCGTACGTACGTTCATCAGTTCGAGTTGTCACACCACCTTAGCACAGAGATGCAGTGGGCTATTCAAATCCCGTATTGGTAGAGGTAGCAAGAGTATAAGCAGTAATCGGGAAGATGTTATTTAAAGAGTATAATCCAGTGAAAGAAATTTGGGAAGAGGAAAAAAGGGACATGAAGAATTCAGAAGATAAGAATTTGGGAGAACACAGAGAGTGGATGCACCTGCGCCATTGCAAACGATTTTGAGTCATGTCATTCAGGGTCTCTAACCATCGGTTGCTATCATCTCGCGGTCTCCAACCAGGTAGTCTACACCTACCAATATGATTCAGTCTACTTTTCAGCTTTCTTCCAACCTACTCCTATACCACTGAACATAGCACATCGGCGCAGTCGATAGTTGGGCACATATAACATGTGTCCCAGCCATCTCAACTGATTAAGTTTCACTACTTCATTAATTGATTTGCCATCCTTACGTAATACCCGTTTCCTAACAACTGCGTTACTTACTCGATGGTCTATGGATATACAAGCAATGCTTCGAAGACACCTTTGATCGAATACTAGTAACCTACGAATATCCTCTACTCTTACCGGCCATGTTTCACTGCCATAAAGTAGGACGGAACGAACTGCTGCGCAGTAAACACGTCTTTTGTTTGATAGACGGATATCTCGCCTACGCCATAAGTGACGCAAGTTGGCAAAAGCTAGTCGAGCCTTCTGTATCCGTGCTGAGATTTCGTCACACACCAAACCACAAGAGCTGATGAGACTTCCAAGATAAGTGAAGCGGTCGACACACTCAACTACTTCACTCCCTATCACTAGTTCGGGTGTCGATGTAACCCAATCCTGAAGCAACATTTTGCATTTCGAAGGGGAGAATCGCATCCCGAACATGCTTGTGTTGTTGCTTAGAGTGATCAGAAGACTCTGCATTTTGTCAGCGTCTTCACCAAATAAAACTATGTCATCTGCATATTCTAAGTCAACAAGTGAACCTCCCGGTAGAAGTTCAACCCTTGGAAATTTAGATGAGGAGAGTGTTATCTCTAAAAGTACGTCGACCACAAAGTTGAACAAGAATGGGGAGAGTGGACAGCCCTGACGAACACCACTTGAGGTAATCAATTCTGGTGAATGCGAAACGCGAATGTCCGGCGCGTTAACCGGATTGTTGGACACGGAGAGTTCACATAGGAGAGTTGGAAAACCCTGATTCCAAACCAATGGTGCACATGGGCTCCAGTACCCTGAGGAAACAAATGGCGTATGAATCAATCGTTGGTCGCTGGCTGCCATGGGAATGCATCTCCTTACTTTACTCCACTGCCTTGTGGATCAGACTTTTAAGTCAAAGGCTCCGGATGTAGCCCCCTAAGAGAACCACCTGTTTCGGTTTGGGCACCCGGGCAGTATCATAGCCCTCATACAAATCATATGAGATTTGTGTAGCGCATTGTATTTGGTGCCCCCTTGTACCAGTGTTTATGTGTTCAAACCAATAAATAAATAATAAAGTTGTCATTAACTTTCTAATTTGTCACAAAAACGAGGTCACCACCTTAACAATTGTTAGCCCGTTAGTATAGTAAATATTTGCCTTAACATGTTTCATCATGACAGTACGAAAGTCTTTCACTAAGTTGTTTGTATCACTTAATATTATGTCTTATTTTTCTGCTTAGTATTCTGAGATGTTTAACTTCATTTGAGCAGTTGCGAAATCAAAGCAAATTAGAGTTAAATATGCATATATTTTGAAGTAAAACCTCAGTTAATCAGTTATTTATCGATGAATATGTTTATATTTTATGAACGGAGTCACCGAAGACAAATCACAACGCATTAGTTAATAGAATGATGATACACTGAAACAAAATAAATGAACTTTATATCAAATAAAGGGATAGATATTGATAGTTGATAGACATAGTTCACTTTAAATTCATTCATGAATAGTAACATTTATTTTCTTAGAAACGTAATATTCAGGGGTTTTGTTATATCCGGGCGAAGATGAATTCACGAATAACTTCTGAGACATATTAATTGACTAATATTATCTATACATTCTTATGGTATAACTATTGAATGATTAGATTATGTATATTTATATTCCTCTTATTATAAGCTTCAATTTGACCTATAACTTATTATTGTACGATTTACGGTTCTTAAGTTTATTTCAGTCTATTAATTACTGTCCCCCTCGTTCACAGCCACTTTTTGGCTTTATTGTGTACAAATGTTATTTCCTATTTTATGGTGCGTCGCGATCTTTTTGTTTGATATATAAACCCAGTATGTTTGAAATAAATGATTCGATTCGATTTGCATCGCATAGTGGAAGCTGGTATTGGTGTTCTGGACTCTAGTGGACGGGCTAGGCGGACATAGGACCAATAAGGACTCTAGGCTGCTCATACCGGTCGAAAGTCATTGGCTTGGCACAGTGCTAAGATTGTATAAGTTGTATTTCGATTGGTGGATAAACCACGTGATATTTAGATGGTAGTTGGAGGTAGTCAACAGGAAACCCTGGACCCGGGTTTCGTGCTACTTGGCACTCGTCAGCAAGGTGTACCTGTAATCTTGAGGGAACTGGTGCTCCCTGGCAGATTCGATCTCGTGTCACCCAGCTTCACAGTCAGAGACGTTACCACTGAGCTATCCGAGCCGTGACTAACCTCCTGTAGGACTGAGATGTAATCACAATTGATTGATCACTGGGTGGTGATCAATGTCATGCTTGTCTAGTCCTTATTAGTGCAGATCGAATGCTATCGATCATGTTGCAATGTGGCCACCAGTCTAGGTGACTCGACACTGCTGGCACTATGTATTGATATTTAGATGGTTGTTGGAGGTAGTCAACAGGAAACCCTGGACCCGGGTTTCGTGCTACTTGGCACTCGTCAGCAAGGTGTACCTGTAATCTTGAGGGAACTGGTGCTCCCCGGCAGATTCGATCTCGTGTCACCCAGCTTCACAGTCAGAGACGTTACCACTGAGCTATCCGAGCCGTGACTAACCTCCTGTAGGACTGAGATGTAATCACAATTGATTGATCACTGGGTGGTGATCAATGTCATGCTTGTCTAGTCCTTATTAGTGCAGATCGAATGCTATCGATCATGTTGCAATGTGGCCACCAGTCTAGGTGACTCGACACTGCGGGCACCACCCAGTGATCAATCAATTGTGATTACATCTCAGTCCTACAGGAGGTTAGTCACGGCTCGGATAGCTCAGTGGTAACGTCTCTGACTGTGAAGCTGGGTGACACGAGATCGAATCTGCCGGGGAGCACCAGTTCCCTCAAGATTACAGGTACACCTTGCTGACGAGTGCCAAGTAGCACGAAACCCGGGTCCAGGGTTTCCTGTTGACTACCTCCAACAACCATCTAAATATCAATACATAGTGCCAGCAGTGTCGAGTCACCTAGACTGGTGGCCACATTGCAACATGATCGATAGCATTCGATCTGCACTAATAAGGACTAGACAAGCATGACATTGATCACCACCCAGTGATCAATCAATTGTGATGGAATCACGTGATAAAAAGCCGGACATAAACCCATAACAGGTTTTACATTCAAAGTAGGATTTCAAAATTTTTAATGGTCTTTCATTTCTATAATTCTTTTCCAAACGGACAAAAGCAGTGAATCTAAGATTTCATACACATAGTTACGTTTGTTATCTTAAAGAGAGCAAGAACGAAGTTCCATGCAGAATAATATGAATTCATTTTATTTCGTTAGGTTCTCATCAAGTACTTACAAACTATAATATTCTGAAATCAATTTTATTACAGATATCGACATACTTATACATATGAGGGTGATGAAAGATGAATATATGTGTATATCATGATGTAGCGAAGATTTCAATAAAGTTCACAAAAAGTTTTGTTTCGGATAAACAAAGTTTGAGAGGGAAAGTTCCAGAACATTGAAATAATGATCAGAACTGTTATAACTTGTGACCGCCGATTAGAGAGCAGTGACTTATCGATCGGAACAAGGACGCATGAACCCGTATGAGTAGCTTAGAGTTCTGATTGGTCCTGCTTCCTGCCTAGCCCAACCAGTTAAGTCCAGAACACCAATCACAGCCTCTGCGATATGAATCATTTATTTCAAACATACTCTGTTTATATACTAATCAAGTAGACCACATCGTACCATAAAATAGAAAATAACATTTGTACAATATTTGGCCAACAGGAAAATGACACGTGAAATAAGTATTGACCAGTAGGGAAACGACACGTGAAATCAGTATTGACCAATAGGAAAATGATACCATTTCAAGTCCAAGGATAGCATTAGACTTAACAGGATAATTTTTGGGATATTTTACTGAATACCCTAACAAGAACTCATGGAGTTGATGATTATGTAATGAAGTAACTGAAAACAGATTAATGGTAATAAAGATAGGAATTGAAATCGGTCAGTTATGAATGATGTAATTTTAAAAGATTCAGAAAGAGTTGCAATAGTGAATGACGTAATAAATAAAAAGGAGAGGGGGGTCAATGTTACCAGGGCAAAGAAAGATTTATTACTGCCTGTTTTTGGGTACATAGATCTGATATTAAACGTTTAATTGTTATCTTTTCGGTAAATTTCAAAAGGTTGAAGTTTAATTGTTTATTAATTCCCTTGAAGGACTTCAGTGTATTGACTTCATGCTCTGTATCATATCCTGAGATTACTAGCAAATTTTATTTAGATTTATAGCGTCATAATGCATTTTTCTGATGTTTTGTAAAATATTTCCTTGAAACAAATTTCATAGATAAATTTTAACAGCATAAATTCATTGATGATTATTTTGCGAATTCAGATGACTTGTCATATTTCAGTAGTTAAAATCATGAGTCAATTAAGGCTAGACCACCATGGAAAACCTGGAAGCACTGGACGGCCGTTTCGTCCTAGTATGGGAGTCCTCAGCAGTGAAGACAATGGTGTACAGTGGCGCAACTTCGTGGATTGGTTGAAGTTAGACATTAACACCGTTGGATGCCGGCTGGCTCAGTGGTCTAATGGTTAAGCGCTCGCGCGCGAGACTGAAAGGTCCTGGGTTCGAATGTAGCGGGAGGCGGGATCGTGGATGCGCATTGATGAGGATTCCCATACTAGGACGAAACGACCGTCCAGTGCTTCCAGATTTCCCATAGTGGTCTAGCTTCAAATGACTCATGATCTCAACTATTGAAATTTCTAAAAATCTCCACAAAACCCCTTCTGATACTTGTCATATTTGTCAAGATCATTTAGTTATGTAGTTATATCACTCGTCAATGGAATGTAAATCTTTTTTGTATAAGGAATCATTTCATGTCATCAATTCATTTTATTTCTATACTTTTTATTGGTCATGGTATCCTGAAATGAAATGTTAGCATGTTGCAATCGACATAATTAGAATGAACAGTCAAATCATGTTTCTGCATCCCTTCAATTCTATAGATAGAAATATCATACTGTTAATTATATTTATATCTATTTAACAACAACAAAAAATGAACTAGAGAATTAGCTAATAGAATCTTGGACCTACAATTAAGTGAATGCGCTTTTTGAACTATAGTGTATTTTGTTTACTTATAAAAATAGTGCACCACATAAGACTATCTATGTTAGATGGGATTTTATGAAATATTTACTACTAATCTAATAGTTGATAGGTGAGTTTTCGAATCGTTGTTTATATCACAAACACTAAGTCTAAAAAGACAAAATATATGAAACCTAATATTTCAGGTGAAAGTTAGTGGGTATCTGACTAGAATTCAGAATTTATACAGTAGTTACTGTGTTATTTCCTGATGAGAATAATGAAGAGTAACTAATGAAATCTGTTTCTGGACTAATACTATACGTATATTTTTATCGTATAATTGTTAACTAACTAAGCTATTCATATTCATGTTCCTATTATTATAAGTTATATTTTGACCTATGAACTATTATTATCCGATTTACCATTCTCGAGTTATGCGCAGTCTGTCAATTACTATCTCCCACATTCACAGCCACTTTTGGCTAAATCTTGTACAAGTGTTGTTTCCTAATTTATGGTACGATGTGGTCTGTTTGGTTGGTATATAAACCCAGTATGTTTGAAAGAAATGATTCATATCACAGAGGCTGAGATTGATGTTCTGAACTTAACTGGCTGGGCTAGGTGGGAAGGGGGACCGATAAGGAATCTAGACTGGTCGTCCAGGTTTTATGCGTCATTGATTCGGTCGATAAATTACTGTTCTCCAATTGGTGGTATCATTACCATATACATTGATAAGGACACAGGCCACAAGTTATAACATGGTGGTATTAGTCGATCAACCAGATTCAACTAGTCTGTACACAGATGGAAAATTCTACCCTGTAGTTGTAGATGGAGTCTTTTAACCAGTAGGCTACTACTGCTTTTAAATTCCTGATAAACTATTCTGTTGTCAGTTTTGAAACAAATTAAAATGTCTTCATTCGTAAATGGCAACTTATTCGTAATACCTCGTAGTTATTTAGAAGGCAGTTAACAAAGATACATGGTTTGAATTATGTTTTCTGGTTAGCGTTTTTTTAGCGAGTTAGTTTTCTAAGGGTTAGGGTCACTAACTCCATGTCCAACCTTCTTCCATTATCCAGGCTCGGGACCAGCAGCAGCCCCAGAGGAGCTACAGGCGGAGTTGGAGAATGCTGGTCGGCGGCCTATGCTTTATTGGTAGTAATAGGCGTAAGTAACAAAGATGTGTATATGTAACCCGCATAGGAAAAAATAATCTAATCACTTACGATCTGCTTGAATTATAAGTGAATAAAAAACATCTCGAATTTATTGTAAATCTATACAATTCCATTAATTTTATGATGAAAAGAAACTCGGAATATGTGAAACTTCACAAAGTATTGTGAAAATGTAAATTGTTGATTATATGCTCATTTACTAGTACGATATGAATCACATCTTCCGTATAGGCGATATTTGACATTCCAATCTCTATGAGAATCGACTTTCATGATAAGAAAAATCAGAGCTTTCAAGTCTTTATATATTTTATTGATACAAATATGTAAATTGTTTTAACATTCCAAAATCAGGTATACCAATGATGAATATGGGTACAATACGTTTACCAAGATTAATAGGTTTGTCTCGTTCTCTTGACATGATACTAACTGGACGTGAATTGCATGCTAATGAAGCTTTGGAATTTGGATTAGTTAATCGTGTTACTCCAACTGGAACTGGTAAGTTTTATTTTTTATTAATTTTACTTACTACCATGAAGCTTATGAAAGTTGGTTTCTTTCAAAGTAAATATGTAACTACTTTTAAGTAGTGTAAAATTATTCACAAATTTATTCAGTCTTAGATGTCCAGATGATACTCTGTAATATCAACGACTGAATTGAAAACAATGATATCACATCAATTTTATTCACGTATTTCAAATATTACATTGGTTTTCAGTTTTTAGTGTTATAGAACATTCATTGTGAGTCATCTTTGATCGGTAACTAAATATGGATAGGATAATTAATCGTATCACTGTAGTGTATTGTACAAAATTGCAATTAATTACCATACATCGTAACACCACCAATTCAAGAATTAGAATGGCAAATAATAACCATACGAAGTGTACTAATAAGTTCATAGTTTTAATTAATATTCAGACATAGACTTATCAAAAATCATAAGAGAAAACTAACTTTCCTTGTTTAATTTAAATTAACCTTAAGTTTAACATATACTGACTTAGTACATAAAAGATCTTTAGCTTGTGTTCTATCAAATCAGAGGCTTGTTTTTATTCGTTGTTAAGTATTATCACAAAGGTTATCATATTTTAAATACGTATGAAATTTTAATAGTTGAATTCATAAGTCACTCTAAGCTAGACCGCCATGGAAAGCGCGGGAGCACTAGGCGGCTGTCTTGTCCAAATGTAAGACTCCTCACCAGTGCTCATCCACGAGTCCGCGTGTGGGACGTGAATTCAAGCCCTTTGGTCTCTCGCGCGGACGCCTAACTTCTTGACCACTGAGCCAGCACCCAACGGTGTTAATGTCCAACTCCAATTGGTCCATGATCTTGCGCAATCCTTCATCCATTGTCTGACCTGGATAATTTTTTCTACCCGACACGGACTGGACTCCACTGGTTACGGCTTCTCACTGAAGCTAATTACTAGTGAGTACATGATTATTATGAGAATGGTGATTTATAGAAATCGGTAATCATTTTATTAGTTGAATTCATGAATCGAACTAAGCTAGATCACCATTAAAGACCTGAAATCACTGAACGGCCGTTTCTTCCTAGTATGAGACTCCTTAGCATTGCTCACCTCGTACGAAATGATTAGCATTTTGGCTAGATCAATTAACTAGTAATTCATTTTCATTGATTTGTTTGCTTATTTTTGCTATTTCATCATCTTGAGAATTATTAAATTTATCATTTTTCCTTTTTTCATCTTTTAACAACACATTGTTAGTTGTTTATATATTTATCAAAATGTAATGACCTATCATTTTTATTCTATGTTTACTTTATTCTACCCCCCCCCCTTGTTGTTGCCGTCGTTGTTGTTGTTGTGTTGATTATCTATTTTTTTTTGTAATGTTTTGAAAATTGTTGTTTCTTTTTGTCTTTATTGTAGGTAATCCGTCATTTTATAATCTTGTTTTTATGTGTTAAGTTGTTTTTTTCTCTTAACTACCATACTTCATTCAGCAACATTATGCAAGTTTACTATCCTTTAACGGTTAATTTACCTTTGATCATTATATATATACATATGTATACTTGTTTTCACACTGTATAGAAATTTTACATTGTTCAAGAGTGCTCATAGGAACGTAATGGTATGTTCTGTCTTTTATTAAAGATGACAGTTACGTTACAGTATTAAGTTAAGAAATACATAATATTTTCAGTAATCATATGCTGGTATACAAAGAATCCTTTTAGTAAAATTATTCCTTTCTCCGTCAATTATTGAAATCGTATTGATTATCTCTCAGTTAATTTAAAAAAACAATTATCTGTATAGGGTTATGAAGATTATTAAGTTTTTGATTGAGATCATGAACCGATTGATGTTAGACCACCGTTGGAGACCTGGAAGTAAGTCATTGGAGATAATGGTGGATGTGTCGTTCAATTTCGTGTATTGGTTGATGTTAGACATTGACATCATTCAATGCCGGCTCAGTGGTTCAGTAGGTTGAGCGTTCTCGAGCGAAACTATAGGCCATGGTTTCGAATCTCGCGAGCGTGATCGTGGATGCGCATTGCTGAGGAATCCAAGAATAGGACGAAATGGCCGTCCAATGCTTCCAGGTTTTCAACGGTGGTCTAACATCAATCGGTTCATTATTTTCATTCCAATTGGTTGATCATGTCTTCTGTTTACTTTCGTCAACGTTTCAATTGAGAATACTTAAAAATTCCCATTATATTAAAAACACAATTGTATGAACGAAGAATATTCTTTTCAATAATTTCTCATCAGGTTCTACAATTATAAATCCAGATTAATAATCCATAAAATTGGCCAGATTTAAGGCACAGAGTACATCATCATTTGGAAATTGTAATATGTAAATCAGGAATTGTTTGTTATATAAAATAAAATCGTTAATGTTGGGGCTGACTAATACGAAGTGTTAACTTGAATCAGTTTATAAGTGAAATGAAATTGTGAGATAAATTATCAGAATAAATATGGTCAACATGGGGTAAGAGAGAGAGAGAAAGAATATTGTGATTACAAATCGGAAATTGCGTAATATGTAAAATAATTAGGTCAAATATAGTAGATTCAGGGGTGGATATTGAATAAATTACTCCAAAGGGGGTTATCAAGTGTAAAGACAATAATAATAATAATAACAGTAATAACAATAGTAATAATAATAAGTTTGGGACATAAAATGAACATTAATCAGATTACGTCACCACATTTTAAGATTGGTTATTAGCTAGTTGGCCAGGGTAAAAGGAGTGACTGAACATACTTCTTTCGGATACAAAGCTCTGGCTTTTTGATCCGAATAGCAATTGCTTCAGCCGTCTGTAGGATTCGCAGTCTGATGGAATTAGGTAGACTGCTGTTGACACGATAAACTATTGCAAAAGATTGCTCCATGTTGGCTGTATGTCCTGTTTGGACTAAATGGTCTAAGATGGAGCTGTTAACAGTTTTGACAACACCTTTGCTTAACCACACGGGTAGGTGCTCACGAGCCCGAATGCACAAATTCCTAGAACATCTGCCAATATAACTTGCTCCACAGGAGCAGTTGAATTGATAGATACAGAAGGAGGTGGCTAGTCTAGGTAATTTATCTTTCAACCTCGGAGTGATTATTGGTCGTGTGGAAAATACTAGTTGTAGTTTAGCTGCGTTAAAAGTCCTTTGAATTGATCTACTTAACTTAAGTCTTAACATTTCACTCGGCGCGTCACCTCTGAATTGTAAGTGTATATATAGAGGCTTTCTATTTACCGTTGGGCATTCTCTACGTTGTCTTTTATTGGCTAAGTTTTTATTTATAAATTTCTCTGGATATCCATTTTCTTTCAGGGTAGTGAACAATGTCTTTGTTTCATCTTCAATCGTATCGAGAGTGCATATAGTCTTGATTCTATGATGTAGTGTCTTGATAAGGTTCCTTTTTTGTTGTAGAGGAACGAAACTGAAAAAATTAGTATATTGACCCGTCCAGGTCATTTTCCTGTTTATGTTTCTTTTTAGCGATCCATCATTTCTCCTTGTAAGCAGAACATCTAGGAAGGCTATTTTACCCCCATTTTCTTTCTCCCATGTGAATTTTATGGACGGATGAGCTGTATTGAATTGCTCGAGTGTTCTTATCAAGTCCGTATGCTCGTTACAAAGGATAAATATATCATCCATATATCGACAGTACAATGAAAACTTATCGATTTCTTGTGCCAGTGGGCCGTTTTCTAGTTTAGAAAGGAAAATGTCTGCCAATATGGGACCCAGCGGTGAACCCATCGCGACGCCATCTATTTGTCTGTAGATTTCCCCATTGAATTTGAAATGTACATTCATAGTGCATTTTAGTAATAATTCTTTGATGATCTCTACAGGGATTGTCGTTTCTAGTTCCTGTTCTCTAAGCTGTTCACAAATATATTCTACAGTTTCTCTGAGTGGAACATTTGTGAACAGTGATGCTACGTCAAAAGAAATCATCGTCTTCTCTTTCGTGTTTATGTTTTTAATCCTGTCAACGAATTGGAATACGTCCTTAATACTATGTTTTACCAGGCGATTATGGAGTGGTTTCAAAACAGTTACTAGCCACTTTGCTACAGTATGATATGGGGAATCATACATGTCCAGAATTGGCCTTAATGGGATATCCGGTTTATGTATCTTTGGCAATCCGTATAACCTAGGTAAATGTGTACCTATCGGCTTAATTGTTTCGTATACGTCTTTTGGAATCATTTGTTGATCTCTGAGCTTTTTTAAGGTTCGGGTAATTTCATTTTCTATCTTATTATTGACATCTTTTTGGTTATTCAGTTTCTGAAATTTTTGAAGATCATTCAAGATGTTATTCATCTTGTCAATGTAATCTTTTTTGTTAAGCAGGACGGTTCGTGTTCCTTTATCGGGTTTTGTGATGATCAGATTCTCGTCACTAATGAGGTTCTTAAACTGATAGCAACAGTCAACTAGGTTTGATTTGAAACGTTAAACTTCCTGATCAGAGGTTGGGACCAGATCTGATGTCTGACGATTTAGGTTTTCAAGTTGGATGTCTGTATCGATTTGATTTACGCGGTTTCGTGTATCACAGAATTTTAGGCCAAGTGCTAATACTTCAAGTTTTTCTTTATTTAATTCAGTACCGGAAAAATTGTGCACATACCTTTTTGGTTCCGTCGGAAATTTATTTTCAACCGGTTGATTTTCAAGGCTTTTGAGAAGTTGGATATGTTTCTTGTTTGAACGTTCCTTAGTTATTTTTGTGACATACTCCATAAACTGGGACTTAAGGTCTTCTGGTAATTCATCAACTGCAAATCTTCTGCGAGCAATGTTTACTTCTATCTCTGTCAAGTCATTATTCAATGTGTCAATTTTATTAAGTGCATAGCGTTTTAATGTTTTTCTATTTGGATTAACATGATTACGGCGTAGTGACTTATAGAACAGTTTCGGATAATGACATGATTCGATACAGTTTTTTATAAATAC